GGGGGTAGCATATATAAATATATACATATATATGTTCTACACATGTATGTATATAAAAGTTATTTGATATACGGCTGCACTCAGCAGACACAGCCGTGTGTGACATAGTTGGAGGCAGCCAGGCGCATCAAATCAAAGCTGCTACTCAGCTGCGGCTTGGATGCGTCTGACTGTGCCTGGTTCCTGGGCATGTGCCTTCAAGACGGGCACCAAGTTCGGCAGAGCTTCGCGAAGGAAACGTCGTTGACATGGTACGAGAAGCTTACGAAAACAAAGATTTCTACATACCCCCGATCATATTTTGTGGGGTTCCACGTTATGGCTATACTAATACTGTACCCTCTTCTACTGATGAAAGCCCGTGTATGTATATATATATACACACATGTATTCACTTTCACGTAAGTTCCTTTCTTAAGAGCCCAGGCTCGTGGAGCGATGGTTGGGACAGGGCCGCAAGTGGGTATTGTTCTTCCAGGACCCAGCTGTGGGGACTCGGTGTCGGGATCAGGCTTGACCTGGACCCCAAATCACCTACTTTCTTAAGGACGTATACAAAGACATCTTTATGAGGAGCCCTAAAAATGAAGGCTTTACAGGGTCCAGGGAAGGTTTGGGGTTTGGGGTCGGACCTGTGGCTAAGGGTGGGTTTCGGTTTACGGCTTTAGCCTTCGGGGTTGGTGCTATTGAGTTCCGAAGTTCCCCCCAGCCCAGGACACCAACACTCTCTACTTGGCTACCTTCCTCTGCTCTTTGGGTGTGTCCGCCCGCCACTCTTTGGAGGTGCAGCGCTGTGCCTTCGATTTCGCTTCAACATGTTGAAAGCAGCTGCATGCCCAACTCCGAACAGGCTTCTGCCCGAATGGAGTGTTCAAGTAGGGCTACGTAGGCTTCAAGCTTAAAACCTGAACCCAAACCCTCGGACTCAGGACCCGTCATAGAATCCAGTTTGAAGATATCGGCAGGTGAACTCCGTGGCAATGCCCCGAAAGGCCAAAGAAGCCGTCGGATCCATTGCCCGCGCCGCGGCTCAAGAAATGGGCTGCGAGGGCTTGGAGGAACTCCCAAAAGCTATTTTTGCTTTTGGCTTACGGGTTTCGGTTCTAGGAGTTTAGTTTTTTCTTTTTATTTTTGATTTGCTTTCCTTTGTTCTGACTTTGCTGATGCTTTTTGACCTCGGCAGTAGCTAGAGGGTTTGATGTGTGTGGTTTAGGGGTTACGGACGGGCGGATGAGGGTGCGCAGGTTCAGATGGGTTCGACAGGAGCCACCATCATTAGAACCATCCTTGACCTCAGCCTTGAAAAAGCTCTAAGCGCCTACGCCGTAATGTTTAACGACTTAGGTGGGAGTTTCAGAAAAGAAGGGACCCTACTCAAGGGCACCCCGTTTCAGGAACTCCCTGAGAACTTAGAGATTCAAACGAAGACACCCAGGCTTCTTTTCCTGGCATCCTATGCTTTGCAAGCACTTGTTCTGAACAGCTTGCCATCACCCCCAATGTCGACACCCCGAAAGCTACGGCTCACAAGCAGCTTTCAGCATGAGACTGTCCTAGCATTGGGACCCGGTGGAGATCCAACCGCAAAGCAAAGTTCGATCCCTTCGCAGATCCTCCGCCAAGCGGATCCCAGGCTTAACTCACAAGGACGGCCGCAGCATTGTTGTGAACGTCGAGTACAACCAGCTGGATCCTACCCCGCAATGTTTGTTGCAGGGCAAAAGAACCGGACCTGTCAGAGAAAGCAGAACCCGAAATTTTGAATTTTACATCGTCTCAACCCTAAATGCTAACTCCTAAACCCGAAATCTCAATAAACCGTAAACCGCAACTCTAGACCCGAAGCCCTAGATGCAAAGAGTAGACCTAAACCCCAAATCCCAACCCTCCCCACCCACCAAAAACAGCAAGAATCCTAAATTCTAGACCCAGGATTCTCTTGGGACCGAACAGCCTCAGCTTCCTTTTGAGGTTTCGGCCTCGTGATTTGGGAGTTTGGGGTTTAGGGTCAGGGTGTAGGGGTTCAGGGTCGGCTTCAGGGTTCGGGCTGTAAACCCGTGCCTTGCGCTTTGATGGCACGAGAGACCTTGACACTCCAAATTCCTGTGCCTGAGAAGCAATTTGCCGTAAGCCCATACCCTTGTCGCAACCCTAAAGCCCATAAAAAGACAAGACAGAGGCTTCTCGATGACAAACGGGCCCTCAAATGACAAACCCTGAACATGACAGACCGGCTAACTGAGCCTGCCGTGGTAGAGGCTTGGGTGATTAGGGTGATGGTCAGGGTTTCAGGTACAGGTGTTAGGGATATAGTTTTTAGGGTTTAGGGGTGACAAGCAGACAGTACGAAGCAGCCTTGCATCGGAATTTGCTCCGCCAAGCTCCCTGTGAAATTCTCCGTTTAACTTCCTCCGACTTCGCTCTGTATGGCCAAGGGATGTTCATAAAAAACCCAAAGCCATGCTGAACCCGAGAGCCCCACCCTAAACCCTGCACTCTATCCGTTCTCGGGCGTCATGGTTGGGGGTCTACGGGCTTGGAGCTTCGCATGGGAACGCAACCTGAGTGCCATGCATGAGACGAAGAACCCTGCGCTGGCCCACGCCCGGAATGGAGTCTCCTAAACCCGGAAGCCGGCCCAAACCTGAAGCCCCCAAGCGAGTCCATCCGAGGAGCCGTTGCTGAAAGCGAACGGCTTTGCGGAAGGGGATGTCAATGGTGCAGCCGGGCAATTGAGCTTCGGGGCCTTTAGGGTTTTAGGGTTTAGGGGTTTAGGGTTTGTTTAGCGTTTATGGTTTGAGGCTTAGTCTAGAGTTGAGGTTTGCAGCGTAAGCCCTGCCTGTGGTTAGAGATTGCGGGATGTGAGATTTGCATTTTATATGTAGCTTTTGTGTAGTATTCAGTGCTTTCTGATGGGTTTCAACCACGATCGAAATGTGCTCCAACTGTGTTCTCACAGATTCCAGAAGGCTTCTGTGTTTGCGTTTGAAAAACCGCGGCAGACAGCTCATGTCTGAGGGGTACTCTATCTCAGCAGCCCAGGCAGATGGTTTGTCCCCTTTCCCTGGCAACACCAACGAGCAGCTGGACTAAACCCTAGACCCTCAAGTGTCCAGGGTTTTGATTTCTTGTGTTGGAGGCCGAGACCCAAAACCCTTCAGCGTCTGAAATCCGAGAGCCCTAAGACCCTAAAGCCAGAAGTCTTGAAACCTCACAGGACCTCAAAACTAAACCCTAAACACTGAAAAAAGAACCCTAAAAGCCCGGAAGCCCAAAGAATTTCAAGACTGCATGTGCAAACCTGATACAGGTTCTTGGAAAGGTCACACGTGTTTTGGGTGCCTGGTTGTTGGATTGCAGGCGGTTAGCGTTCAGAGTTCACTGCAAAGCCTTGCTCGATGTCGGGCAGTTGCCGAGCAGTTTGCATAATACGAAGGAGACAACGTGCGGTGCAAAGTCTAGAGTCTAGAGCTTGCAGAGAAGAGGTTGATCTTCGCTCTGCCGGAGTATGCTGCGCAGCTTGCCAAAAATGGCGGGCAGATGCCTGAATTCATCAATCCGCCCCTTTGCTGCACTGTCTGTGGGACGAAGGGGCCAAGAAGTCTAGGCAAGCCTGTTTCGGGGTTGTGGGTTTTCAGCTTGTGTGTGGCTATGGGCTTCGTAGCCCTGAACCAACTCCGAGGCATGTGACAGCAAGGAACAAAAAAGAGCCGAACCCTGAACGCAGGGGCTAAGGATTCGACGTGTGTATAGCACCGCGTCCCTGAGTCCTTCGTCCGTGACCAGGGAGAACCCAAAGCATTTCTGAACACCCAGCGCTCCGAATTAGCCTTCAACTGTTGACTGGTCCATCCTCAGGTTTCGTAGCTTGGCTTGCGTGATGCAAATACCTTGCGAGGGTTTGCTTAGGCGGCTGTTGTCCGGCTCTAAAGGGTTTAGGGTTTAGGGTCTCGGATTTCGGGTGTCAGGTTTAAGGGCTTAGGGTTCTAGAGTTGGAAGCTAAACCTGAAGAGCCCGCAGCCTTAGACAGCCTCCCCAAACCCTCCACCCAAAACCCTCGAAGCTTCCGAAAGCCTCAAACCTCTGAGCCCTTCTGAGCCCTTCTGAGGCAGCCCAAGCTCTGAAGAATTTCCGAGGCCCCCGACTCCGCAGGCCGAAGTCTTTAAGGAGTCTGTCGCTTGTGACCCCCGGATCAACGCTATAAAGACTCTAGAAGACGGGGTTTAGGGTTTAGGGTTCTAGGCTTAGAATCTCAATGAAGGGGTCGGGCTCCGGGACTTTCGCCTGCTTTTAATCGGTTTCCCTGGAAAAGGTTTGGATTTTTTTGTCAACCTGGGCCACTAAGGAAGTATGCAGATGCGACGCGGACGAACTTCAAGAGCCCCACTCGCATGGAATGCTCGCTGGCTGGTTGTTGTGGGTTCAGAAAGTTAGGGTGTAGGGAGTAGCTCATCTCGAGGCCACGTCTATAATTTAAGGAATGTTCCGTATTCTGAGTGAGAGCTCTTGAATCACAGAGCGAGAGCGGCCAGTTATGATTCAAGGTATACAACTCGAGTGATAGAGGATTGTCGGGCTCTCTAGGATTGGACGGACATCCCCTCGCTTGGACCCCAGGTGTTACAGTAGCTTTTGGGGGTTTGCTTTTGGGGTTATTACCTTCAGGAACTGCAAACGGCACCCAAACATTAACTACAGAAGCCTATCCCCTGGTAGGAATCTTACACCAGAAAGTGTCTGCTTCGATGCTTTTTCTTTGGCTCCCAGAAGCTTCAGGGGTTCAGGGGTTAGGGTTTGGGGGTTTGGGGGTTTCGGGGTTTAGGGTTTAAGGGGATTTAGGGTTTAAGGGGATTTAGGATTTAGGATTTGGGGGTTTGGGGGTTTAGGGGTTTAGAGATTTGGGTTCAGGATCGAAGGGTGACCCGGGGGACCCCCCAAACCCTAAATATCCTGAGCCCCAGCTAACAGGAGACTGGAGCAGGGACAAAACCCCTACGCAACACACCGCATAAGATGCTGTTTCAATTCAAGCATGAAAGCGCGTGCTTCATTATTTTCTTTTGAAGGAGGCTCGGCTTCTTCCGTGCGGGTTCTAGCCCGGAGGTTCTCTTCTTCTCTGGCTTGGGCTCTCGGGTTCAGGGTCCAGTGCTTCGGCCAATTAGACCCTTCCAAAAACCTGTAAAGTTTGTTTTTCTTGGGTTTAAGGATATAACACTCATATCCCCAAAAAATCCCCTAGATCCAGACTTCACCAGCTCGGCACCGAGGCATGATGCAGGACTATGCGAAGCTCCTTCCGCCTGACGCGAAGGCGTGGCTTGCGGTGGCTATGCAGGGACTCAGCCATAACATAGCTTTTTCATGCTGGTTTATAAGTTACTGTGTTGAGGGTTCCTTGAGCGTGTTGAAAAGATGTTGTACCACATCTGTTACTGATCAGAAAGTTCTCCGGTTCGTGGAGATTGTCTATGAGTCTATGATTGTCTGTGATACGGATCGAAGCATGGGAATGCAGGTCAATCCTTTGGGGCGTACGCTGGGGGGACTTGGCCAAGGACTTGATCAGCACAATCATGGCGCCAAACATCAGCAAGCACGATAGACAAAGACCCGTGAACCCCAAAACCTCCGGCCCGCTCAGAGTATTGGGGTGACGATGCCGCCAAGATCGAACCCGTATTGGAAGCTCTTTATAGGCGAAAGGAGCGGAGACGTTGATAAGCTCAGGGCTTGGGCGCAGATGCAGAGATTGGTAGCCTGATCTTTTGCTGGCCGTGCTTGGGGTTGCAGCCTACCGTAACCGCTACATCAGAGAGCAAACGACTTGTTCGCCACTCCAGCATGATAGGCTTGTTCTAGATCTTCTTCCCTGAGAAGGAATTCAGTTCCGGGTTGATGTGCTCATGAGACTCATGGTTAGATCCTTCTCCGAGACGAACCCGCATCTGGAAAGCCAACATGCTTTACCAGGTGGGCTTCACCAGGTATCCTTTGGAGTTCGGCTACTTCCCCTGCAAGACGCTCTGGCGAGTGAAGTGCAGCTCCAGGAAGAGTGTCATATTATACCATTTCACATGCATTCAACCAGCTTATATTGTCATTACATTGTATTGTCTTGTCTTGTCTTGTATTGTATTGTGTTACATCGCATTGTATGATATTTTCTTATATTCTACTCTATTCTAATTCTATTCTATTTTGTTCTACTAGCAGATATTATGTTATATTATAATATCTTTATTGTGTTATACTGCAGTATATCATATTACATGATCCCATATAATGTGGTAGTATGTTACATTTTTGATTGTACTATTGTGTTATATTCTGTTGTACTAAGGATGTTATTCTATTGTGTTCTATTCTGTTCTATTCTAGTCTACACTATTCTATTGAATCCTATTCCGTTCGATTCTATTCCCATTCCTATTCCTATTCCTTTCTAGTATACTCTATTCCGTTCTATTACATCATATTATGTTATCTGACCTTCTGTTTTATTACCATGCTCTAGTATATTATACTATATTCTCTTATGGTGACCGGTGTTGGTGCGGCGTTCATGGCTCTGGGTTTCGGCTCAGGGGGCTCAGCAGTCTGTCCAGTCGAAGCTTGCCTAAGGCTCTATAAGCTTTCAGGCCTTCGGCTCTGGTGCCGTAAATCCCCGAAACATTAAACCCTAGGCCCCAAGCCCTAAACCCCAGAAGTGGAGGGTCACGTTGCATTTTGTGGTGAGGCTCCGCCTTTTGGCTGAGGCCCCGCGCCTCAATTTGCCTGAACTCCTACGTGCGAAACCTGAAACAGGTAAGGGTTTAGGGTTGAGAGCGGAGTTTTAATCTGACACTCCAGGTCCCAACTTCGTAGCAGTAGCAGAATCTGCTGCAGCCGGTAAATTCCCTACCGCCTACACTGTATAAACCCTTGCAAGTCACCAAGTCCTACCTTCCGAAAGTTGCGTTAGCAAGCAAGTTTGGTGCTCTAGGGTTTGAGGGTTTCGGGCCTTTGGCCTCTAGGAGGTTCTGAGAGCTCTAGGTCTGTGATGTGCGTTTTGCAGAGAACCCCTAAACCTCGAACTCGGAACTGCTTGAACTACACCCTGAGCCTTGAATCCAAGTCCACGAGTGCGCCCTTCAGGAACGACATCGCTACTGCTGCACGGCTCGCCGTACTTTGGCAGACTTCCTTTAACATTTTGAGAGCAGTGCTACCAGGGTTCCACAAAGGTGCTCAGGGTTTCGATCAAAGCTTTCTCGGAAGGGTTCCTGAGCCTTGGGGTTCCCGGGAAGCGCCTCATGCGCTTTGAGTTTCTGGGCTCAGGATGTCGGCGCGAAGTCTTAAGGCAAGCTAGGAAGCCCCTCGACCCTTGTGGGCTTTCCGGGCGATTGAAAAAGGATTCAAAGCCTGGAGCTTTGTCCCAGCCATAGACGGGCAAGGTACGTTTGCTGGAGGTTTGGGGCAGCCAATCGCCGGGAAGTTCAATTGAGACAGCAGGCGGTCATCGGAACGTGGAAGCATACCCAGAACCCAAACGCCCCCGGTCTGCCAAACCTTAAAACTGCAAACCTTGCACCCCCCCAAGACCTTGGCAAACCTTAAAACGAGCTCTTTTCATCAAGGCGGAGGGCACTCCGCCCCACGGTGCGGCCTCGGCGGAAAATGCGGTTTACCATGCCAATTGATCCTCGGCTTTGCTTCAGGGTTTCAGGTTTAGGGTTTTTTGCTCGACATTTGCGTCCATTTCTTGTCTTGTCGCTAGATCAGATTACAACGATTCGACTCCATGTATTTGGAAACGGCATGATGGCAGCTTTTGGGAGTGATTTGCGTGGAATTGGGGGTTCGGTGGAGGGTGCCCTTGCAAAGAGGGATCTGCAAGTTGCTGTCAGGTGAAGGCCTGTTCTGGGAAACCTTGGCACTGTTATCGACCTATAGAACCTCTAAGGAGCCCCGTTTCGGAGCTATGTAAGTGGAGCCAATGGATGTGAAGCGTCCGTGTAGCGTCTGTTCTGCGGGTGGGAGTGGCATGAAGCAGAGTCGAGGTTTCTGTTTCGAAATCCGAAACCATCGCGCGCGCCCCACAGGACAGTCACTGTAGCTAAAGCCCTCAACCCCTAAACCCCAATACCTAAAATCCAGAGTTCTTCTAGCCTGGGTTCCACTACTCTAGATCTCGGGGCCCAAACCAGAGGTCTGTTTGCTGAGGTGTGCAGCTGCAGCTGCTGGGCGCCAGCGTGGCGCCCGCTCGGGAGCGTCACTGGCGCGGAGGGCCTCAGCTAATGGGCCCGGCCGTGGTCCCTGGGCTGCCTAGGGGTTGGAGGTCTCGGGCTGTGGGTTTTTGGGTTCAGGAGAGTTTGGGTTTTGGAGGTTTTGGGTTTTGGAGGTTTTGGGTTTTGGGGGTTTCGGCCCAGCTTCGCCAGGCCCGAAGTCCTTAAGTAACCAACATGCAAGGAAGGGGCTGTCGGGTTTTCTGAGTTGGGCGTCAACAAGGATTGATCGTTTGAGGTGGATGATTCTTTTACGGAGTGGTGTTTAGGTAGTACTGTGGCCCTTGGGACTCAAGGCCGCAACTCTACACCCTAAACCCCCAACCCTAAACCCTAAGCCACCCGTCCTAAACCCTCAAAAGTAAGACCTGAAGCCTCAGCCTTGCACCCTAAAGCGCTAAAGCATCACAGCCCCAAGCCCAAAAGCCGTGAGCTCATGGACCCTTTTGTCAGTCTACCCTTACCCTTCTCATGAGTAGGAGCAGGGGTTCCTTGAGGGAACTTTAGGGTTCTCTAAGGGGTCATGCAAGGGTACTGCAGGGCTTTAGGCTTCAAGGCTTCAAGGCTTCGGGGTTGTTGGGATGAGGGCTTCTCCCGAAACTCGGAGAAGAGACGCTGCAGGTTAGCTGGATGAAGTTTCGCAGACGGGGCTGAAGGCAGAAATCGCGGCAACGTCTCTGAATGAGGTCCTGACTATACACTGAACCTCCCAACCCACAAAGAGACATGCATCTACCAATTCAGATGTAAGGGTTCTACAACCCCAAACCTTGACAGAGTATGTCTTAAAATGCCCCAACTCCAAAACCCAAAGCCTGAAAACCTGAAGCAGGAAGCTTTAAACTTTAAGGCTTTCACGACCTTCGAGAAGTGTCAAAGGTCCTTTGGCCGGACTTCGCCCCTTCCCTTGCAGAGCTGCGGAAGAAGCTGCCAGCCCCAGCAGCTCGGGTGCAATATAGCATCTTCAATGGTTGCCAACATTATTCCTTGGTGCTCCTTATTTAGAATTGTAGCATCTTATGTTTGAAAGCCTTATTCCAATTATTAAGGCCCCTGCATGCAGATGCACCGAACATCCTGGCCCAAACCCTTCCTCGGCTCAGCGAGTGCTAGGCCCCAAGCGCCGATCCAGTTTCCGGAACCCTCAGCCGCTAAAATAATTAGATAAAGACTGGAGCCCTCCAACCCCAACCATGCCTTATGAACATAGTGGTCCGAGTGTTCGGGGTCAACAGCCGGGTCCCCGACCTTACTTGGTGTTCAGGGGGTTTGCAGACTGTCAAAAACCGAGTGAAGACCTTGACCTGCCAAGAGCCTCCACGCTTAAGGGTTTAGGGTTATGGTCTAGGGTTTAGGGTAGCAGCCTTGCCTGTCAGGAGTGCATTTCCATTGCCGCAGACAGCTCCCTCGAACTCCGCGGGCACCTTGTCCAACCATAAACATGTCCTAGACATGCCCGCGATGCTTCGGGATTATGTTTTCAGTTCTTGGGTTCCGTAGGGTTCACGTGCTGGTACAGTGTTTAGGAGTTTAGGGTTTATCTGGGGTTCGGGGCCGGGCCCGGAACAGAGAATTAATGCCGGTGCAAGGCCTCTGTAACGGGACGAGGGCTTTCGGGGTTTGGTGCTGTCGGGCTTAGGGTGGAAACCCTGGACTCTTAAAGCCCTGAAACCTCAAACCCCTCGACCCTAAACCACAAACCCTAAGCCCTATAGGCCCGAACCTGAGGCTCCAACATTTCGAGCCCGAAAGCCTTAGAACCCTGCCGTCAACCCAGAAAGCTCATTTGCAACCCTTATTTGTCGACCAAAAGACTACCTTTTTAAGGAACTAGACATAGAAACCATACCAAGCAACCCTAAAACGGTAGGTCTTTTCGGTTATGGGTAGGCCCTGAAACACTTTAGAATCCCTAAGAGTCCAAACTCAGGTCGGGTCTCATCTTGGAGCACCTGGACTTGCAGGTGTCTGGGTGCTTAGTTTCAGCAATCCGGTGCTGGCCTGTTTTCTGTTAGTAGTTGTCTTGTGTATGTAGGTCAAATGTTCGTGTTTGTTTTGTATTTCGTGTTTGAGCTTTGTGTTTCGGGTTTGTGTTCGTGGCGTTTAGAGCTTGCCTGGGCTGTGGGGCATTACGGTCTCAGATTTGGCATGAGGCTTTGGCATTGTAAAGTTTCTGGCAGAGTTAGGATTCAAGTGGCAGCAACCAAACCCGAGGATCCAAGCCCCGAACCTTTACCGTGAGCCTTCAGCACCTGTAACAGTGACGATGCTAGAGTGCTTCTGCTCCGACTCATTAGCGTCAGGTCCGTGTCAGCACCGCTACTACCACTACCAAGCACCATCACTATCTGTATCATCATCATCATCCCTTCAGGGCGCCTTGCGAGTGGTGGCAGGCCCTGGCGTGGCTCTTCGTATCCGCGGCTTTGTGGCGTTTGTTGATGTCCCTGCATGCTGTTACGGAGTTTAGGGTCTTGGGCTGGGTGGGGAGTGGGGACTGACGGCATTGTGACGGTAATTTCTGGGACTATTCTGCTCGGAGTCTTTCGGCATGTGGTCGTCGCTGTCAAGTGTCGACCACGATAGGAGTATCAATCCTCCTGAGCCTGAAACTCCAAAAAGACATGTCTAAACCTTAAGGTTCTAGAAAGGCTTATCCTTTCTGCCACAGTTGACGTGTGGACCGTGCTCAAAGCATGTGTCCAGCCTGTGCAGCACCCGCACAAAGACAGCCCGCCGTCATTTCGATCGAGAACATACCCCTTTCGGCCAGCAGCCCTAGTAGTCGTCGTCGTAGTCGTAGGAGTCGTCGTCGTCGTAGTCGTAGTAGTCGTAGTAGTCGTCGTAGTCGTAGTAGTCGTAGTC